TGATATTATGTAAACACAGTGATCATACATGTATTTGTGATTGAAAACAGAAATAATAATTTATCATACACACAAAATAGCACAACTATGATACTGAAGGGAAGTGAATTACTTGATTTTTATGAATGATTTTGTGCTCGGTTTGCTTGAATTCTTCTTCTGCTCTCTTCCCTTTCTTCTCTGATCTCTTTCTCTTATTAATTTTTTTTCTAGAGTGCTCTCATTCCCTTTTTTATATCCCCTCTCTTGCTTCGTTGCTTTTCTTTACATGCATCTACATGTTTACTTTTTTTTTCTCTGTTTCACTTTCTTTCTCATTTGCTCATACATGTTATTCTTGCTTCTTCCAATTTCATTTTTTGATGAGATTTTTGTAGGCGGCAGGAGTAGCTTGCTTGCTCCCCATTTCACGGTATTCACTTCCCTTTTTTCGTTTTGCATTATTTAATAAAAAGTAAGCAAAAAAAAAAAAAAAGTGTATTCACACCAATCAATGAGATGTCTTGCATGCTTTGCATCAAATTAGCTTTAACTTTATATTGCACCTTGCCTTGACCTCCTTATACAAAACCAACTCATTTTACCTTGCTCCAAGGCTTTTCGTGAGAAAAGCCTAAAGAATTAGAGAAACCACAATTTCACGCCATTTTTAGGGAGATCTGAGAGCTACATGCTATCTCCATTTGTGATATTCCATTGTGAACATTTTGAATTTGAAGCAATTCCCTTGTTTACTTCATTGTATTTCATCATAAGTAATTTTGCATTTTGTTTCCTTAGAAACCGAGAGCCAAAGAAGGTTGAAATGTCATGGAACTATTATGCATGTGAAATTAGATGATGTTACTTTTTGTGTGATTGTTGGTATATGGGATTGAGTCTATGAATGATAATATTTTTCAGCTGCATGTCCTAAACATTCTCCATCTAGTTTTGTATGGATAATAGAAATTATATTAATGGTGACTATATTAGACTCTTGAAATACATGGAATTGATACTAGAACCACTTGACAATGGATGAAGTGAGGTTTTGGATGGTGAGATCGTGTGTAAGGGGAGTTTAGGGGATTAAAAAAAAGGTAGTCTTTGAAAAACTATGAAATGCCGAGAGAGAGAGAGAGATAGATAGGGCTCCAATTACCTTGAAGTAAAATAATTGAAATTGATAATGTGAAAAAAAAGGGAGAAATCTGAGAACTACATAAATCCCACCAAGGTTAAAGAACAAGAAAATAGGGATAAGTTGCCACTTTGTGTCTATAAATTATCAACCTTAATTTTGTAGGACATAGTGAAAATTTAGTGACATGATCACCAAGATTAAAACTAAGTAGGCTTTAACCTAACCAAGTAAAGGAAATTGAGAGAAATGAGTGAAAAGGAGAGCACTTGGAAAGGGAGTTGAAGAGTTATAATTTAGTAAATAAAAACTGTGAGCTAAAAAAGGATGATAGATTTTGGCCAACCTAAAGTCAATCCCTAGTATTGTAGGGCAACTTTAAAGAATACCCTTTAAGAAACCCGAATAACAACTGCATTAGGCTATTATGAACTTTACCAAAGAGAACCTACAATGATTTAGGGAGTGAAATGGAATTGTGAGGAACTAATAAGATAGAGTATGTGTATGTGATTTTGAAGAAAAATATGTGGTAAGAAATTTGCTTAGCTATTTTATGATAGAAGATGACATCTATGAAACGTGTTGGCTAGAGGAATTTGGTGGTCTAATTGGGAGAGTTCAAAGTAACAAAATATGGACATGCATTATAATCATGCAAAAAGGAGAAATTGGTCAAGGTTAAAGTTAGCACAGTTGTAGGATGCTAGTGTTTAAGTTCTAGAAGAACCTTGAGGATGAAAAAAAAGAAATGACCAATTAATGATGAAAAGTAGACCAATGTGGTTTGTCAACGTCACTAGTGAGTCATTGTTAATTTTGACGTGGACTTTCATTACTAAAATAATTGTAGGCCCAACTATTTTAAAATCAATTTCAACAACTAGGTGCTCTATCTTCAAGTCCACAATAATTTTCAAACCATGCTGAGAAAAAATTAACCCAATATACTTATTTTGTTACTTCTTATGAAAGACAAAGAGGTATTTTAGCCTTGATTACTCACTTTCACAAATACTCTTCTTTTATCAAAATCAATTGACATTGTCGTATAACCTATTTGTCATTTTTTCTATACAACTAGTAAGAATACTTTTGTGTAGAATGCAAAGGATATGTGAGCATGACTATGGAAAAAACATCACACTTCTGCATACATGTTGGAAGAGGTTTGAAATTTTCTGTTTCAATTTTGACATGCATTTCTACATCTTTGACATAAAGTTGTAATGGGTTAGTTATAAAACTACATATTCCTTTATTTTTCTAGTTTTGTAATCCTTTTTTGGTGTAAAATTTTCTTTGCTTGCAAACAATTTGTTTTTGGTATTATTAACTTTAAAAAAATTAAAATCTAATAAATCAAAACTAATATCTAAACTTAATCATGACTATCAATGAAATTTCTGAATTATTTTTAATGTACTTAATACGGTATTTTTAAACTTGAAAGAATATTAAATACTCTATTTAGGTTATGCTAAATTTTTAAAAAATAATTTTTTTTAATTATATCACTAACTACACTATTAAAATTAATAATTATAATTATTTTTTATATATATAAAAGTATAAAATACTTTTTTTTAGAGCACAGTAAAATTTACCTATTTTTAAAACCTCTAATTAGACGAAGAAAACCACTTCTGTTAAAATCATGATAACAAGTTTGCGTGCCAACCTAAAACATGAAGAGAAAGTTTGGGCCCATATATACTTGTGTGTGCGTGAAGTTACGAGTTGATTATACAGTAAATTCGATCCTCAAATCTGCTCTAATTTTAATGCATTGTTAATATAGTTTTTAATATTATTAATTAATTATAAATTATCAATATAAATTTTAAAATAATTATTATAAAAAGATAATTTATAAATATATAATAATGTATAATTAAATAATGATATAAAAACATTTTAATTAATTTTAAAATAAAAATATAAAACATACAAGCAAGTCACAATAATTAATTTCAAGCTTTGATTAATTTATTAGTATATCTAACTGCAGAAACATTTTTTAAATTATACAATAATTTATATTTTAAATTTTGGTTACAACTTGAAAAAGAAGAAATAATCTATAATTTATAAAAAGTAAAATTAAAAATTTAAGATATTAAATTCTTTTATTATATCATTATAAAAATACTTTTAAAACATTTTCATGTTTTAGTAAATTATTTAATTATGTTATTATAATATTATTTTTACTTTATCATATTATATATATTACTTGAATATAAATTTTATTATTAAAATAATATTTTTCTAAACTCTACATGTGACTAATATTTTATACATAATCAACATATTATAATTTTAAGTGATATAAAAGATAATTTTTATAACAAATAAGATTTTTTTTTACTTGTATTTAATTTTTGATTAATTAATATCTTAATTATAATGACAAATTTAAAATTTTAAATAAAATATATTTAATAATGATTTATATTTAATAATTCTGTTGCAATATTTTAATTATTTTAAATTAAATTAATTAAGAAAATATAAATAAACTCGTATGTGCATGAGGATAATTACTGGTTATTATTATATCTAACTGCCGAAACTCACTCATTGTTAAACTAAATAATGGATAACTCGGGTTAGATGAAAGAATGAAACTATTTTTTTTAAGTTTTCTTTTTGTTTGCTATTTTTTTTTTCTCATATTACTATCAGTCATGTATCCTAGGGTTGCAAATTTTTTTTTATTGTTTATTATTTTTTAAAAAAACCTTCACATATTAAAGAATGAAATTTATTTTTTTATTTTTTAAATAGTTTCGTAGTATTAAAATTTTAAATAATTTTATCTATACAATATGCAAAATTTATTTAAAAAACATTTCAATAATTTTATATATACAATATATTAAATTGTTTTTAAAAATAAAAACAATTTAATACTGTCTGTTTAAAAACAATTTAATACTGTCTGTGTCTGGGTCCCTCTTAGTCACAGGGGCCAGTTGACCCGTGGTCTTAAGATTTTCCAAAGGGTCCAAATTGCCGGCTTAGAACTGCTAGATTAGTTAATATTGGGGGCATTTTAGTAAAGCAGGTGGATGCCGCACTTTACCGATATTATTTTAAAAAAATGTATTTTAAGATGTGTATACGAAGTTATTTAAAATAAATTATATATATGTAGATCAAATTATTTAAAATTTTGATATATGTTATTATTTTTAAATTTTGTCTGTTTAATATTCTAAACTGATTAAAAAATTAAGTTTTATTTTTTGATAATTCAATTTTTGAATTATTAAAATTTTAAAAAAATAAATAAACTTTGAAAATAAGATCAAAGTATTGAACCAATATAACTTGGAAATGATGATTTTTTTTAATAGAGTAAAGGATAGAAGATTATACGAAGTAAGAGCAAAATTAAGCAGCACATTAACTATAACTATAGGATAACAAAATAGTTCAAGAACGACGCCCTAACTCCAATAGAATCAATTTCACGTGACTCCTTGCATTCTACGCACTCGCAGGCAAATTAGAATATTAAAAATATAATAAGCATGATATAAATAATAAAGAAATTAATAAAATAAAAACAAAAATAAAAAATTATAAAAAATTATTATCACCAATCATGTCAATTAATCTACAAAAGTGATTTAATCTTAATATATAATTTCAAATTTTAGTTTTAGTAACAAACATACATAATAAAAGCAAGCAGAACCGAGGAAACCAAGTGACGTAATTAATCTAAACATTTTATTAAATTATTATTTTATTTAAACGCAGAAACAGTCTCACTCATTGCTATGGGCTATGGGCTATGGGCTATGGGCAACTCGTTTTGGAGGCTATCCTTTATAATATTTAAATGCAGAAACAGTCTCAAAGCATTGAACCAAAAGGGGTAAGAAATGGTGGTTTGACTTAGATAGCTAATTACAAATGTGTCCCTTTCCTGAAGAGATATAAGAGCAATAATGCGTTTTCTGCATCCATTCATTGCGAGAATCTCAAATTGAAGACAGACACAGTGCAGATCTATTTTCCTCCTTTCTCAAGAATGGCGGAACACATTCCATTTGCTGTTGCCTCTAATCTCGTTCACAGGTTCCTTTTTCCACCCTTTCTTCTATTTATACAATAACTATAGATTTTTTTTGTTCTTGCATCGTATGCTTAGCTTACCGTTTAGGTTTTTTCCTTCTTAGTTCGTCTGTTTGTTTGACAATTTCACATCGTTTACTTTTTCTTTTTTAAATTTTCATTCTTACTTTAACATAAGTTTTTTTTATCCCTGCACGCTGTGAAGTTTGTTTGATGGTGTTGTTTTTCAGTGTTTACAATTTTTTAATCCGAGACAACGCAATCCGAACTGTTCCGAGAGTATAACTATAAACATGGACCAGAGTCATGAGCGGATATAATTCTATTTTTTTAAAGTTTACATTATCTCTAAACCTTAAAATAAAAAAAATAATAAATTAGAATTAGGAGTGAACTAATTTACTTATTTTATAAAATAAGTAATAACTATTATATTATTTTTTTATAATATTTATTGAATTATTTTATTTAAATAAATTAAAAATTATATTTAAAATATAAAAAATAATTTTAAAAATAAAAAATATTTATTTAATATATTAAAATTTTATCATAAAAATAATATTAAATATAATTATATTCTAAAATTAAATTAAATTTAGCTTTTATATTTGTTTAATTTTATTAATTAAATTTAATATAATATTTTAATAATTTATGATTTTAATTAAAAATTAGTATTAAATATTTTTAACTAAACAATGATTAAATAATAAAATAATATTTTATAAAATATTATTTAATAATTATTTTAATAAATTTAATTAATTTTAGTATGTTTAAATAAAAAATTAAATTATTAATTGATTTATTAATTTATATGTAATATATAAATATGTATTTTAATTTATCGTATATATACTATTTTTCTATATTATATTCATGTTATGGTGTAGTTAATTTATATAATATTTAGTTTAAGATTTTATATTAAGTTTTATCACAATTTTTCTATTAAAATAAAAATTTAGAAATACTAGTTACTTTTTCAAATTCATAAATTTTATAATGTAAAATATTTTATATCTATAATTTTTATGATGAAAATATTTATTTATTTTTTAATATTTTAATTTCTATTAATAAATTTAATAAATTTTGTTAGTGTTATTTTTTGTTGTCAATTTTATATATTTATTATGACTTTATTTATTTAATATAAGATATTTTTATATAAATAAAATATAATCCTTAGAAAAAATATATAATATTTTTAATAATTTTATAAAATAAATTAAGAAAAATAATAATATAAAAATTTTATAATATAAACAAAATTATAATTAATATCAAATATTATTTTAAAATTTATTTATAAAATTATATAAAAAATTGTTAAAATTATATAATAATAATTATTTTTATTAATTTTATTTAATAACAATAATTATTATAAATATTTAATATTATATAAATTTTATTTTTCTTTCTCTTTTTCTAAACAATTTTATTGGACTACAAATTTATAATAAAAAATATTTTATAAAATAAATATTTTTACTAAATATTCTAATAATTATCACAAATTTTTAAGAACATATAAACTTTTTTATTGATAAAACTCTAATCTTATGGTTTTTTTTTTTGGTTCCGTGAGCTTATAAATTGATAAACTTTTTAATCCGTAGAACTTTTTGATCCTAACTTACATGAACTAGGATTAGAACCGAGTCAAATAAACTTTTTGACAGCTGAGAATAAGTTTAAAATAATCATCATTATTATAGTAACAATTAATATAATAATATTATTCTTTTATACTAGAAATTAAGATATTCTTATAAATAAAAAAAGGTATGTGCTATGATATTTTAAAATTTTTTTATGAATATCATATTTAAAAAATTTAAATCAATAAAAAAGAGATAAGTATCAAATTAAAAAAGTTATTATATATAATTTATTTAAAGTTATATTATTTATATTATTTATTACATAGTCTTATTATTATTATTCTAGTATATACTTAATTTTTTATTTTATTTTATTATTTTTAAATTAAATTTTTATATTTAAACAAGTTAAAGAACGGTTAAGTTTTTAAATAAAAATAAGATGTAATTGAAACTAAACTAACTAAAATTCAAAAAAGAAATAATAATATTAGATTAATATATTTTTATATTTTTAATTATTATATTAATATATTATGTTATAATTATTTTTTATGTATAATAAATAAAAATTATTTAAATATAAATTATATTTTATTTAAAAAATAAAAAATAATAAAAAATAAGAAATAATATATATATATATATATATATATATAAAATAAGATAATGTAGTAAATAATATAAATAATATAATTTTAAATAAATTATATATAATAATTTTTTTTAACTTGACACATTTCTCTTTTTTATTGGTCTAAAATTTTTGGGCATAGTATCTATAAAAAATTTTTAGGGTACCATAAAATTTATCTAAAAAATATTAAGAAATAAAATAATAATAATAATAATAATAATAATAATAATAATAATAATATGTAGTAAATAATATAATTTTAAATAAATTGTATATAATATTTTTTTTAACTTGATATATGTCTCTTTTTTATTGGTCTAAATTTTTTGAATATAGTACCCATAAAAAAAATTTAAAATACAAAAGAATTTACCTAAAAAAAAAATTTAAGAAACAAAATAATATATATTATGATAATTCGACATTAATAAAACTATGGTTATGAAAGGTCATGTTAATTAAGATGGATTATATATACATATTATTATGTAGATATTACATGGTAATAATTTAGTAATTAAACATTATAATATAAGATAAGATTTCCACAAACTAAATAGTAATTAGTCTTATATTAAATGTCACCTTTTAGTCTTGTTTTTTCTTCTTCGAAAGTTAAATCATATTTGTATTTTAAAATTTTAATTTACATCCGTGACAATTAACATATTTTTATTTATAAGTTTATATGCATGCTATCTAATTTTGTTATCACACAAAAGTTTCAAAAATCAATATCTTAATATAATTAAGATATTTAAAATAAAAATTAAACGTGATATTAAGAATTAAAATAATTAAGAAATATAGACTACCTTATTTATACATTATATATGTAAATCTTATATAACATAAAATTAGTAACCTAACTATATTACGTAAAACAAATATTTATAAATGACTCTCATAAAATGTGTCTTGTGGCCACTTACTTCATTTGTTTTTTCAAAAAATCAAATTTTTATATTTTATAATTTTTAATTTATATCTTTATATGTTTAGTATTAATGGTAATATATATATATATATTCATTCAAATTAAGGTTGATAATATAATATAAAATAAATGTGTAGAAGACAAAAATTAAACCTTTAATAGATGAATCACACATTGTAAATTTTTTTTATACTTTCATTAAATTTAAATAAAAAAAGTCGTTCTATTGAGAATATAAATTTATTTGAATAATCTTTTTACATTGTAAAACTTTAATAAAATATTCTTTTAACAATGTTGAGTTATATTAAATATTAAAATTATAGTTATTTGATAAACTACTCGTGTAATTAACTAATTTATATTAAATGAATTAAAAATATATATAATATTATATTAATATAATATTAAAATTAAATAATTTATTTATTTACTATCAATTAAATTAATTATTATATTGAAAAATAATATTTTTTTATATATGTTTTGAACATGAAATATTTGTAGTCATATTTTTTTAATATAAAATATATTTGAATAGAAAACACAATGAAACAGATGAAAAAACGTAGTTTTTAACGATGTTACGTGTTTAAATTTATCAATGTTTTTTAAGGAAAAACATAGCTAAGCCTGGTTTTAATGATGGCTGAATGAGTTCTATTTGGTGTTGCTTTAAATGTCATTCACAGGTTGGCTTCCGCTGACTTTCATGAATTTGGACGGAAGTACGATGTGACGGAAGAGTTGGAAGAGCTCAAGAACACAATTGAATCCATCAATGATGTGCTCCTTGATGCTGACGATAAACAAGAACAAGCTCGTGTGCGAGTTTGGATTAGAAGGTTCAAAGAAGTTCTTCATGTTGCAGATGACTTCTTAGATGACCTTGCTATCGAATTTATGAGACATAAATTAGACGAGGAACGACGAACAGAAGTGACAAAGGTACTTTATCCTTTCTCATCTTCAAATCGAATTGATTTTCCCATTCAAATGGCTGAAGAAATTAAAAGAACACGTGAAAGTTTTGATGCTGTAGTGAAAGACATGTATAAATTGAATTTAAGCCCAAGATCAGGGGCGGTTAAGCAAACTAACAGTGAATGGAGGGAAACATGTTCTTTTGTGTTGGAATCAGATATCATTGGACGAGATGATAGTAAAAAAGAGATTATAAGTCTGTTGAAACAACCTTGTGAAAACCGAAAAGTTTCTGTGATTGCCGTTGTTGGCCTTGGGGGTTTGGGAAAGACAACTCTTGCACAGTTGGTGTATAATGACTTGGAAGCGCAGGGATTTTTTGAAAAGCAAATGTGGGTGTGTGTCTCAGATAACTTTGATGTGAAAACTATTCTGAAGAAAATATTAGAATCAATTACTGATTGCCAAAGACAAGACCAATCATTAGAGAAGATGCAAAGAGAGCTTCATACAAATTTAAGGGGTAAGAAATATTTGTTAGTCCTGGATGACATTTGGAATGAGAGGCATGACAAATGGGCTGAGTTGAGAAAGTACTTGATGTGTGGCGCTCAAGATAGCAAGATTTTAGTGACAACTCGAAGTGAAAATGTAGCAAAGGCAACTGCCGCTAGCACTTCCTATCCTTTGAAAGGTTTGACTGACGAAGAATCCTGGAGTTTGCTGAAGAACATTGCATTTGAGGATAATTCCAAAGGAGTGAATCAAAATCTAGAATCAATGGGGAAAGAAATAGCCAAAAAATGTAAAGGGGTTCCGCTAGCAGTTAAAACGCTGGGAGGCCTGTTACGCGAACAAAATGAAGAAAGTGAATGGGAGAATGTTTTACATGGTGACTTGTGGAAACTATGTGAAGAGCAAGACAGTATCATGCCAATTCTAAAACTCAGCTACCAAAAATTGTTGCCTGAAATGAGACAATGTTTTGCTTATTGCTCTTTATATCCCAAGGATTGGAAAATTTATAAAGATGAGTTGATTCAGTTATGGATGGCACAGGGTTACCTTAAATGTCCAACTGAAAAACAGAACAAGGAAGATATTGGTAACCAATTTGTAAAGATGTTTTTGATGAACTCATTTTTTCAAGATGCAGAAAGTGATGAATATGGTGAGATCTATCGTTTCAAAATGCATGATTTAATGCATGATCTTGCAATGCTTGTTGCTGGCAATGATTACTGTTACTTGGATAGTAAAGTGGAAAAAGTTGAAGGGAGTCCCATGCACGTATCTTTGGAATCCAAGGCCATTCATTTATTGGATTCATTGGATAAAAGCAAACTGCGAACTTTGATTTTCTGGTCCGACACTGAGCAGGAATTGTTTGCAAATTTCAAATACCTGCGCGTCTTGAAGACGCCATCATCCACTTTTTGCAAATTGTTTGGTTCGGTTGGAAAATTGAAGCATTTAAGATATCTTGATATTGTTGGTGCTTATTACTCTTTGAGTGGGGGGCCAGTAGGGTTGGGAAACCTGTGCACGTTGCAATTCTTGTCAATCTTTGTTGTGGGAGGCCAAAAATATTGCACACTAAATGAATTGAAGGACTTAAACTTAAGAGGCAAATTAATAATTAATAATCTCTATCGTGTCAGAGACGTGGCTCTGGAATCACAGGATGTAAATTTAAAAGAAAAAAATTCCCTTCAACACTTGATTCTGGATTGGTTTGATGAAGAGCAAAGAGATATCCAGACAAGTGACAGCTTACAATTATTAGAAAACCTTCAGCCCCACCATAATCTTAAGCGATTAAAGGTGAATCATTATCCAGGCGTGCTTTTCCCAAGTTGGCTTTCTCTCCTCACAAATATTGTTGAGATCTCTTTCTGTAAGCTTTATAATTGCCGCTGTCTCCCACCATTGGAAGGTCTCCAGTTCCTGAAATCACTTGAGATAGTCTCTCTTGATGAATTGGAGTACATATATCTTCGTGAAGATGGTTCTGCATTAACCTTCTTCTCCACTTTGGAGAACCTCTCATTATGTGGTTGTGAGAAGCTTAGGGGATGGCGGATGCTGGGAGATGATATAAATGATTCTGAGAATTCACATCATCTCTCTTTACTTTCATTTCCTCGTCTTTCTCACCTAAAAGTCACTTGGTGTTCAAAGTTGACTTGCATGCCTACTTTTCCAACCGTTACGAATTTGTTTATGGGGCAATGCAGTGTGGAGCCATTAACAGCAACACTAAACACAACAGAGTCAACATGTTCAGCTGACTCATCTTCCTGCGCTGCTCCTCTTTCCATGCTCAAACATTTGCACATTTCCGATTCCATGAATTTACCAAAGGGTTGGATGCAAGATCTGACTTCACTTGAGTCTCTTCGACTGGTATTCTGGGAAAGTGAAACACTTGAGGAAATTGAAACTCAGTTAAAAGACACCACCAACTGCCTTCCCAATCTGCTACGAATCACCATGGATTGGTGTCCGAGTCTAAAGGCTTTGCCAAAATGGATTTGCAACCTCTCATCGCTTCAGCGTTTCGAGATCTTCGATTGCCCAGAATTGGCATCGCTGCCCGAAGGAATGAGTCGTCTTACCAGCTTAAAGACCTTTGAGGTGGCGAGGTGTTCCCTTTTAATTAAAGAATGCAGAACAGAGACAAGTGCTGTTAGTCGCCAAATCGCACACATCCCACAAATTATCCTTCGTGATGAGTTTTTATAAAGGTACTGATGCTCTCATTTATCAAAAACTCTGTTTGTTTTAGTGTAAACGTTCTTGTTAATTGTGTTTGCTTTACTAATAAAATACTTTGAATTAGTTTGGACTTTTGTTTTAATAAATAATAAACTAGTTTTCATTTGTTAAACAATATCGGAGCCTGTGTTCAAATTGATACTGATTATATATTTAATGCTAGTAGGTTTTTAATGGAATTATTAAAAATGTAATATTTTTAAATAAAAATAAAAATTATTTTATAACTAATAAAATTTATAAATATTAATGTATAATTTAATTTTCAATAATATCATTCTATTATATTAAATTAAATTAAAAATAATTTTTGAAAATTAAAAATTAATTAAAAAACATTTAATATAAAATTTAAATTAAGATTGAATTAAAAAAAATTAAATGTTCAATGAAAATTATGTGACATAATAAGAAAGATAACTAATACCTAAAAAATTAGGACCCAAATTATATAGGTAAATTATTTATGTCAATAGGGAATTAATCAATGATTGATTTAAAACAAATATACACTAATTGGACTTCCTTCTACTTTGTTAACGTAAAATATAAATTAATGTTTTGTATAGTTTCAATTTCTGTTTTTATTTTTTATAATTTATTTAGACTTTTGTTTTTAATTTTGAATTAAAGGTAGATTTTTGAATTTTAATTTTATCATAAGAAGATTTATTGTTTTAATATTTACAGGTGAAAATGGAAAGAAAGAGAAGAAGAAATTTTGAATTGAAAGACTTCCTAAAATTGTTAGATTTTTATAATGTTGGAAACTACTTAGTCAAGTAACACATTAAGTACTGAATAGTTATCTCTTTTTTCTTTTTTTTTTAATTGTTGTGCTTGGCATATTGCTAATTTAGTAATCACCATCCAGATTTTTACTATTGTAATTTCATAATGTTTAAATGTAAACTGTGTGTGGTGATATTTCAAATAAAAGTATATTTTCAACTTCAGTTTTGTATCTTTTATGTTCTAATATTTTCTCAGATATTACATTTCAGGGCTTGCTGAATAGAACAAATGCAAGCGTGTTTATATGTTGAAGCAGCAAGCTTGATTCCTGGCCCTTCATTCAATATATTGCCTTGAATGTATTTGGATTTCGGATAATTTGCTTATACTAAGATCCTCATGTTCTACTAAGGTAACTGTTGGATACTCTCAATTTTGGAGTTTGTTGCTTAATCTCATTAAAAGGACAGTGTGAAAGTCTTAATTAATGTATAACAACAACTCAACATCTCCTTGTGAATGCTGCTTGAAGGAGTACATTCTGCTTGAACTTCTACCCTTTTCAACAAACATGAGGTTGAGTTGGTTTGGGGAGTAGGATCTGTGCTGATATTCTTCTTGAGACACTACTAGCTTGCTCTTTCGGAAAAATTATGAAGTCATTATGTGCCACTTGGACAGGTCAATATTGCGGATTGATGATTTGTTTCAGTTTTCTCTTACTGTGGATACTTTGGAGTCCATGTACAAAAATTTTCTTATTTGAATTCTGAGCTGTTAATTAATTTGTATTAGTAGTTAATTACTAACAAAATAATAATCAAAGTATCAATGTATCCCATAATTTATATAAAAAAAAAATTGTATATATGATTGCATTTCGTTTAAAACAAGGAAAATTTTAAGAGACAACTAAAACTAAATTTTGGCTACATGTTCAACAGACTATTATTCATTCTTGTTTTTCGTTATTTGTTATGATTGGTGTTCTGCTGTTCAGTAACAATAAAGGATGTCTTTTCCCCCACCTTAAGTGCCTCTTTTATACAAAGAATGCTTCTGGTTGTTGTTGCTGTTGTAGCTTCTAATAATGTTTTCCTAAATTGAGAATATATATTACAATAGAAACAACTCTGTCTCTTCTTTCTTCCGTTTTTATTTCAGATATTGGTGACTAACAGTCATTTAGTTATTTCATAGGACTCTAAAATGTTAAATTATAAAAATTATTTTTAAGATTCATCGTATTTTATTATCAGATATATGATAAAAAAAAAAAAGAGAGAAAGAGGCATGTAACATCCTCTCTATAATTTAAATAATTTCTTCTATTAAATATATAATTTTAAATAAAATTTAATTAAAATTATAAAGGATTTGAAAAATTTTACATATATATAAGTCTAAACCGATAAAAGTTAACAAATTTTTAAAATTATATATATATATATATATATATATATATATATATTCATAATAGAAATAAAAAAGGGAATTTAATTTTAATATGGTGTTTTCCTAAGATAATTACTGGAATATGAGTTTTTTTTGTATAATTACAAACGTGTGATATTTGAAAAATTGCCAGCGACGATATTTATAATGTCTTTCAATTTTGACTTTCTGGTCTACAATTTTGACTGTATCTTCCAAGGCTAAAATGAGGTACAAGCATTAGGTGAGCACGCTTATGTAATGAACAATAGGTACAGGTGCTATGGGAAGCCAATAAAATCGTGAGTGGTGAGTTTTACTAGCTCTGTCCTACAACTAAAAAATCATGGATAGCGATTTTTACTAACACAGTAATACATTGTCCTGAAAAATTGTGAGTGACGATTTTTACTAGCACAGTAGTGTATTGAAATGTCGTTTTGTGCGGATGGAGTTGGAACTATGCTTATAAATAGGAATTGAACCATATTGTATGCGCGAATGAGAAAGAGAAATACAAAAAAGAAAACGAGGAAGGAGCTTACAAAAGAACAATATCAAAAAAGAGAATAAAATGGTTCAAGACGTGACTATGGAATCGCACAAACATATTTCATAACGTATTCGTACTCAAAATGTAAGTAATATTTATTTTTTAATACATACAATGTAGTATAATAAAAAAATTTCTTAATTTTATTTGAGTTATTTATTTTTTAATTAATGCAATTTATTTTAAGTTTGTATAAAATAAAGATAATTATTTTAGTCTAAGTAAACATAATAAAATTTATAAAATTTTAGTATTGGATAATTTTTATTATATTATTTACTTTTAATAAAAATTATTATCATTGAAAAATATATAATAAATTATTCGTACGAAGGGTTAATATTAGCCATTTTATAGTATTATAATAATAATAATAATAATAATAATAATAATAATAATAATAATAATAATAATAATAGATGTAAAAATAAGTAAAGCACAATTTATATTAAAATAATAATAATACTATGTGCGGGTATAATTAAGTAGAAACATATCATTTTTTTATAGTTAGTTTTTTATATTTTGATATATTTAATTCATAGATTACTGATAAATTACTATTTTTAAATTTTAGGTAATGAGAGTATTATGACCACGTCACTTATTTATAATGTCACTAGACCTGAAATAAATGAGATTTTACGAAATGCCAGTTTTGATCGTATTGCACAATTATGTCAAATGCATATAAATGGTGGCCTTATAAATGCACTTGTTGAACGTTGGAGATCAGAAACACATACATTCCATCTTTCTTGTGGAGAATGCACAATAACATTAGAAGATGTTATGTTGCTTGGACTGCGATGCAATGGTATAGCAGCTGGTTCTACTAATCCAAATACTTTGGCATTGCAGAATATGTGTGAACAGTTACTAGGAAGTCAGCCTGAATCAAATGATATTGAAGGTTCTGAAATAAGATTAAAGTGGATCACACAACACCTTGGTTGGCTTCCTGCTAATTCAAACATTAGGATAGCACAACATGCTCGAGGATATGTACTTTCTTTGTTGGGACATATTTTAATGCCAAACAAGAGCAACTCCCTGGTACATGAAAAATTCTTACAATTGTTGGTAAATGTCCATGAAATTGGAATGTTCAGTTGGGGTTCAGCATGACTTGCTCTTCTGTATAGAGGTTTGGATTGTGGTTCATGATATGATGCCAAAGAAATTTGTGGATGCATAATATTATTGCAGGTATAGGCATGGCACAGGCTCCTGTGGTTGGCTCCAATACCTGGTGAACCAGTAGTATTTCCACTTATACTCAGATGGAGATGTCTTTGATATCCAACCAAGACTCCATATAGGGATCTTGGAAATGTTAGACTAGCATTAGATAAAATGGCACTACATGAGGTACTTGTTAATATATTTATACATTTCTTAACTATTTTTATACATGTTTGAAATTATTTATGAATAATTATTTTTGAAAATACAGTTCATGTGACGACCATATGAGGATGAAGCGATTGATGTCGTTGTTCCACATGATCTGAGAGAAGAACGTTTATTGTGGTCAATTGTAAGCCCGTTGATATACTTTGAGGTTGTAGAGTGGCATGCAACTGACCGTGTGATGCGGCAATATGAATTTGCTCAACCTATTCCTCTCCCGCCCCAAAGTCTTGACGGAGTCCACAACAAAGATTTACGTGGATTAAGAGAACCAAAGGACTAGAGGTTGATACATGATGATTGGGTGATGATATGGGAACAACGATATCAGCGTACATTACAGGGAATGGCAATTGACCAGTATTACCCGTCCAATGAGTATTGGAATTGGTATACATTGTATGCAATGAATTGGTGATGGTTGTCTCCACAAATGAAACAGCCATAACCCCAGCAACAACAGTTTTTGGTGGATGAAGAGCTTATGTCCTCACCACTGTCTGAGCATCAATAAGGGATTCCACCTCTGACAGGTCAACCAAATGAGGCGCTTTACTGGTCACCACACACAAACCAATGGCAGTCATTTGAATGGGATGAAGAACCCCCACAACAACAACCTTCACGAATGTTTGTCGATAGAAGAGATAATCGTCGTGGGTCAACAAGCAATGAATCATGTCGAAGGAGATCAATTAATTGCAGCAGTGAAAGTGGGACATCTCGTGGGTTACTTTCTACATATGACTTTCTCATTGAGGATGCCAGACCTTCTCTTGTCATTCCTGTATGCAACTTTGACCTTAATGAAGACGCAATTGTGGTTGAAGGAAATTATGATGATGAAGATGTTTATCGACCAGAACTTGTGACAATAGAGTGTGGTGGTACTTCTCAGCAAACATTTTCATTGGGTGAACAATATTCTGTGCCAATCATGTCTTGGGAGATGACACAACAACATAGCATATGTACAAATACATCTGAAAATGTGGTACAAGCAGAACCTACAGTTGATGAGAGAGTTACACACGATGCCACAGATGATGAGGGTGTTGGGGATGATGGTCTTATCGAAGGAAGACGAAGGGAATTTTTTTTTGCACATGTTACGTCCCTTCACCCATGCCCCTGATAGATATAGCCCCTCATTAACCAAGAACAAAAAGGGGAAATGATATTTGTTTAATGTTTATGTTTATGTTTAATTTTTGTTTTCATTATTGTCTTTATGTTTAAGCATGGAATGTTATTTATATTATGCAACTTTGTTTGTAAGTAAAATATTTAATAAAGGAAGCTTTGTTTGTTAGTTAAATATTATATGATTTATCATCTCTTAATGCAGATACTCTTTCAAAATATAACAAATATTGCATATGACCCTTACATTTATAATTAAACAATACTACTTCATCTTACATGACGATAACAACTTAATCATCATCATCAACAACAACATAAATTAAAACTACATAAAACAACAACATCAACCTTGCGAACTTGACCTAGGAGCATTTGGGCATATTCTTCTACTATGGCTTTCACTTCGGCAAAGAGTGCAACATTGGGTTCTTCTCATCTCACGCCTATCCATTTCATTCAGAAAAAGTGTTGATTTTGGACGACCTCTTATTATGCGCTTTAAATTTGGGTTAGGAATAAGTTTTAGACCTCTATATATCCGCCACATACTTTCATTTCCAATGACTCCAAACTCCTTCTTATATACTTTGCACAACTCATTTATCTTGTAAACATCTTCGACATAACAACGCCAATCAATGTTCTGACTAGAGCAAGCAGCAATGACATGACGACATGAATATCTATCGGTTTAGATGTCACCACAATCACAATACCTTTGCCTGAGTTAGACTTTATATTCTTGATTGTTGTTTACATCTTGAACAAGAAAAGTCTCATTTCGTCTATCAAATACAGCAACAAAAAGGTTTCTAGATGCTTGCTCATTTGATTGAAGTCGAGTCGTCACAGCTTCAGAGAAAATATGTCCAGCCTTTTTTTGCGCATATGCCTCACAACCTTTACGTGCAAATAACTTAGCCAATAGAAAGTAAGTTGCTCTAACCAGTGCTGTTATTGGAAGATTACGAGCGCCCTTTAATACTGAATTAATGAACTCAACAAGAGTGGTGGTCATGTGATCCCATCGATGCCCGCCATCATATACAAGAACCCACTTCTCTCGTGGAATTTCATTAAGCCAGTCTGTATGAACCTCTCCACGTTGTCTCAACCGCTCAAAATGAATATTAAATTCTGATTCAGTTCTTGAATAACCTGCATACCACAAACTCATTAATATAAGCATGTCAACAACATATAAAATTTATAATTCAATGTAAATATTATTGACAGAAGAATAATGTCAATTACCCATGCGGATGACAAGTTTATGCAAGTAAGGTGTCTTAAATCTTCGCAAGAAATTAGCACCAATATGCCTGATACAATACATGTGAGATGCCTTTGGAGGTTCCCATTGTCCGTTACTTCGTCTTATTGCTGCATTAATTGACTCGTGCCGATCAAAAATAATACCAACACCATCCTGCGTCACGACATGTTTGAGTAAATTCTCAAGGAAAAAATGCCAACCATCTGCAGTTTCTCCTTCAACAATAGCAAAGCCAATCGGCAAAATATTTTGATTGCCATCTTGTGCAACAACTACCAATAAAGCCCCCTTGTATTTTCCATATAAATGTGTCCCATCAACCTGCACAAGTGGTTTGCAGTGTCTGAATGCTCGAATGCAAGGAGGAAAACTCCAAAAAATACGATGTAATATTTGAACATCAGGAACCAACTCATACTTGCGATAAGCTTTAACAGCATCCAATTAAACAATTGACCCACGAACAGAGTCACACATCGCTACAGACCATTGCGGCAGGGCTTCATATGAGGCTTCCCACTCACCATACACTTTTTCAATTGCTTTTTGGTTTGCCATCCATGCTTTTCTATATGTTGTCGTATATCTAAATTGAGCTTGAACTTCATTAATCACAAGTTTGATCTTAAAAGAAGGGTTAGATTCTACCATTGGCTTAATACATTCTGCAATTGTGTCTGCATTCAACTTGCTATGATCCTGCGAAATCCTAGCCCTCATACAAGTGTGTAGCCCATTATACTTCCTGATTTCTCAAAAACATTTGTTTTTCCTCAAGCTAGCCTAAACAAGTCAATCACAATCTATGCCATAACTTACACATTTATAGTAAAATGTATTTGGTTTAGACTCAAATACTTTATAGTTCACTCCTTTTGATATACTATAATGTTTAATTGTTCATATAACATTTTCTCTGTCATTAAATTGCATTCCAACACACAATTCTCCTACTGCCACAGAATTACCTATCAAACACATAAATTTTAATAAAAAAAACTAATTCATTAAATTAAACATAAAATGATAAGGGTATAATTAAAATATTTCAAACATCATATACCTAAATTAGCATATTCTAGAAATTCAGGTGCTTGCATACTTATAAGATCTAACGCACGCATGAATAACGGCTCCTCAAACAGATGTTTGCCAATCATTGGACTTGATAAATAGGAGTCTTCATCAACTCCTTCATCTTCTGATTCCTCATCATCACCATCTTTATCAAAGTAGGGGTCATCACTTTCAGTGCTGTTTTGTTCCCATTCTATCTCTCTGTTAGGAACAATGCTCGCTCGCATAGGCTTCATTTTGATTCTGCATGAATACCTTCTGCATGTGTATAAGTTGTAATTTGTTTAAAAATAATATACAGTTCAATGGTAGAAGTTGGGGGTCGATGCTCATTATGTATTTGAAACATTTGTTAAATATCTTCGTTGGTTGTTATTGCAACTCCTTGGTATTGCATGAAACCTCCAAAAATAGAAATCGGACACCTGTATGTTATACTCTCTACTATTTTTGGAGTCTCCACTTCAATATATTGACAAAGCCAATATTTTAGTGCTTCATATGATATATTATTAGGAATATACATACAAATTGGCTTCTCACATATAAATCTCACACCTTCACATGCGTTTGTAATAATTTCACTATTAAAGTACACTACTATATTTGTACTCATTTCTTTCTTCAACTACAATAGAATGGCCAAATTTGACCCAAAAAAAAATGCAAACAGCAAAAATGCAATAGAAAGCTTTAGAGAGTAGAGAGAATAGGGTTACGGTGCAATTTATCACAAATAGCAATGACTATATATAGAAAAAGATTTTAAAAAATGCCGATGGTGATTTTACTTCTTAAAAATCGTCATAAACAATTTTTATTGTCAAAAATTTTTGAAAACTCGCCAGTGGCAATTTTTTAAATTTCCCATATTTATGTAATTTTTTCTAAAGTCCATATTATGGTAATTAAGTAAAAAAAATCCCATATAAAGAAAAAATGACCCAATAAAAAATGTGTTTTTGTAAATTAAATTCATATTCAATGTTAAAGCTGAAATTTCACTGTGTTATATAATAGAAATTTATAATACGACAAAACTGTATTTCAATAAATTAAATTTCTAAAAAAGCTATGTATAATTTAGAATTTAAAGTAAATAACTGCTAAGTATTATACATACACTTTAAATTATTATTTGGAATAATTACATATCGTTGTTAACTATAAATGAAAATTTAATTAATATTATTACATTCTTCAAAATAAATTAAATCTTAATAGGGCAATTTTGTTCCTTATAATCCAATACAATTATGATTCTAGAACGTATTAGTCTTGTTTTATTTCTTAATTATCTAGAAATATTTATAAGGATGAGCATCCACTACCCCACTAAAATCTCATTTTATAAAATAATCAAAATAATGCAGAAAATGATATCTAATACAACATATATCAAAATAGAAATAATTCATTTTTACAATTCTATTTAATAGTAATCATCCATATACATTATTTCACACTTAATCAAATACAATCCATCAATCATTTAGTTCATGACACTATATTCATTTCAATTATGAAGGATTCACCAAATAATGGTACTCTAGGTGCTCACGGGCCCCTAAATCACTACCAACATACTCTTCCTAGTTATAAAGGACTTACACTAGCATGGATAGTTGTCGTTTAGCCACCACACATATACATGTGTGTTATACGAGTCTCATAGCAAAATTATAATCAGGAGTCTAGTCAGGAATGAGTGTGAGGCCTGTGAATGCTTTCACTATCAATTGTGTGCACATTAGGTATTACCATTCATCACCTCATTTTTCCTACATTTTCCAAATCGTCTCGGAACTTTATATCTACAGTGTATCTCTAAACTATCTAAATAGAGACTTAACAGTGGCATACTAAGATTACGCCCTTTATACCAATCAATATTGTCCTAATACATGTGTTATAATCACACTAACTGGTATTTTACGACATATGTATGAGTTACTTCTTTTCTTTTACTCAGTTTTTGTCAGCAATTCAAAAATATTCATGCCAATTAATTTCATTACTTTTTATTACTATCATCTTTTGCTTCATCCCTTTCTCATAATTGAATTAAATAAATTGTGTCTAAGATTAATCCAATTCACACGTCTATAATAACATACCCTTCATTCAATGATAGCCAAAGCAATTTTCATCAATCTTATATAACAATCAAACTTCTCATTTAATCATATATTACCAAAACAGAAAACACATCATCATACAAATCAGTACAATGTGCTGAAAGTCGAATACCTTCAAACTCAGACCAATTATACAGTTTAGAAATATCTTGTCGAAAATCACATTCTCTCAGTCTTAATAAGAAAATCATCTAACCTAAAGTTTCACATTTTCTACTTTTCATCATTCATCTCATAAATATATATTTAGATATAATAAATAACATGCCTATAGAAAACTTCTTAAAATTTATCCTACTTATAACTTTTACTATAAAACTTGGATTTAAATGATTTTTAAACAAATCAAAGCATTTCTAAACCAAAATCCATTTTCAACATTATAGTTTTAAGAAACCTTTATAGATTTTTCATTCGCTACAGGAAAAAAGGGGCCTTAGCAGTGGTTTTTTTTGCCCTTCTTAGCAGTTTAAATTGCCACAGTTTGACACTTGTGGCGGTTGCCAAACTGCTACCATTCCAGACGTCAGAATAGTGGTTAGCGGTGGTTTTGAAAACCGTTGGAACAACCTCCCCTATATACAGTTTTGAGATAGGGGCGGTTCAAAAACTGTTGCAAAATACAAGAATAATAATTAAAAATTATAGCAGAAGTTTTTAAACTGCCACAAAAATATGACAATAATAACTAAAAACTATTATGGCAGTTGTAAAACTGCCACAAAAAAAATGATAAAGAATTTTTTTTTGTAAAACCATAGCAAAAAAATCAGGATAATAAGAAAATATTATTGCAATAGTTATAAAACTACAACCAAATACAAAAAATCAAACATGTTAATAAAACTCATACCAGTTTATAATTGCCACCAATGTCCACTATGGGAAAAAAACTCATACCGACAGCGACATTTATAACTGCAGTAATAACAAAAAGATTTATATAACAACAGTTTTAAATCGCCATAAAATGTAAATTCTGCTTCTTCTTTTTTGCAATTATATTTTTAATTGAATTAGTGATTGAAATATTTAAACGCTAATATTAAATATTCAAACATTCACATAAAAAAAATAAGACCTAATATTTAGGTAAAATTTCATAGTCATTCTAAATTAAAAGAAATTCACAAAAATCTTACAAACTAAAAATTTGGGTGTCGTAATCCTAAGTTACAAACAAAAAAACTTCTTAAACAAACTAAGTGTTGGATGATGAAGGGTGTTGTGGGTTATGATTAGCTGAAAAAGAGGGTTTTGCTAGCGCCGACGATTCCTTGTCTCCAATATGAAATTGTAGGAAAAAATTACAAAATTAGATTTTACACTGTACCAACAAAACAAATATTTTTTACCAATATAAAGCTGTAAGAAAACTTTGAAATCCACACAAGAGCTATGTCATCAATAACCTTGAAGCAAATAGGAAAATAATTACCCCATTCTCTCTAGCAATAGGAAAATCAAGTGGTACTACACCACCCATATAGTGCGTGATGAAGTAATTATCTTGAGCTTGTAGCACTGAAACAGTTGTTTCCATTTGTTAAATCTTAGCGGATTTAGAAGTATGATAGGATGAGGATGCTATCCCTTTGCAATATCTTGGGGTATAAGTCAACACTTGAGATGGACACACTCCAAAGCCCATACCTTGAACACGACCCGAGTGTTCCTTTTCAAATACCTTAGTAAAAGCATCATCATGCCAAGTATGTTGGGAAGAAGTCCCTTCACTTTCAAGCATGGCTAATTGGTCCTATATATAAAAAATACTTTTAATAATCATGCATAACTTACATAGTAAAATTCAAACCATGATAATTAAACATAAGCATCATCATGTTACATGAGACACTATGAAGTTAAAGTCACAAGATATAAAAGATCAATTAGGTAACAATTGAATTCAAACCCAACTTAAAATGTAAGCCAGTTATTTACTTGAAACATCAACAAAACTTTTACTACTTAAAAATCTTTCGTCAAGCTTTGGTAACTAATGCAACGAGGTAGAGACCATCCATAAGTAGGAAAATAAAGTATCACCTAGTGTCAATATATCCTACAAAAGCTCACAACCGCAAAAGCATCTTCCAAACATTGTATATTTTTAGCATGTATTTAGATTAAAAATCCCAAAAACATTTTTAACTCATGAAGTTTCGTTGAACAAATAAATAAATTCCTAGACTTTGATTTGCTAGTCTAAGCCATCTATCATGTCATAGATAGCATCAGAAACTTTCTCAAATTTTATCAAATTAACTAGTGGATCAACTTTGCTTGGTAGAATTAAATGAAGAACATAGTTGTCATTGTTGAGGGAAACTCTAGTTGATGGAGTAATCCTTTTTAGAATCAAACATCCTATAATCATACAAAAACAACACTTAAGGACATAAAGTGTTTGCAGACAAGCACATTACAATGCAAACTTCTATAGGCACAAGTATTATTAATTAACCTTTCAGCAATATAGATCTAAAGCAAAAGTATGAATCA